ATTCAAGACTTCCATATATGTCAGTTTTTTAAAAAATCACTTTCTTGGCAGCTAGGGATGGCCATGTGATCTATTTCTGCCTAATGAGATGCAAGAGAAAGTAAACTGGTGGGGCCTCCAGGAAAACTATTGTTTGTCTAAATTGTATAGGGAGAGTTCCCTGAACCTCTTTCCTAAAAGTCATCTACTTATGGGGCGCCTGGGTGGCGCAGTCGGTTAAGCGTCCGACTTCAGCCAGGTTACCATCTCGCAGTCCGTGAGTTCGAGCCCCGCGTCGGGCTCTGGGCTGATGGCTCGGAGCCTGGAGCCTATTTCAGATTCTGTGTCTCCCTCTCTCTCTGCCCCTCCCCCGTTCATGCTCTGTCTCTCTCTGTCCCAAAAATAAATAAACGTTGAAAAAAATAAAAAAAAAAAATAAAAGTCATCTACTTGTGTGGTATATTCCTCCCTAAATACATTAGCTATGCCCAGTGGTCAATAGTACCATTGTATCAATATGTGATAGTGGTAACTCTCTGACTGAGCAGGTAAACATCACTGAATTTAGTATGTGAGAAAAGGTGGAACCAGGTGGAATACACTCTAGTTCTCTCTTTGAAGACTTTCTTTTTATGCTGTTGATGAGGAGGTAAAAACCATTTCTGAGTGATTTCTGCCACACTTTCTGCTATGCTTCTCTCCCTTTTCCCTGCTCTCCTCTTTCTTCTCTCTGCTGCCAATCCCATGTTTGATATTGCAGGGAGTGAGGTAGTGGGAGACTAGGAAAGTGGGAGGAGCAGGGAGTCCATAAAACAATCAGGGCAGTTTCTTCACTTACCTCATGATACCCTGTTCAAACTGCATTCATGAATGGACTTTCCCCAAAATGTAACCTTTGCAGTAACAAATTGGTCCATGCCAAAATGGCAGCTTCAGTGAAGATACTACCAAACCATTCCCCAGCCCCCTCTGCTTCCTTCCCTGGGCCTCAGTAGGGCAGCAATGACTCTGAAACAAAACCTTAAGTAGACATTGAAATTCCTGATCTTTTCTCACAAAATCCAAAGATTTCATGGATGATAATATATAGCTGATATTTTCCTCCTTACAGTCCTAAAAAATCTACAACCAAATATGATCTCACTTTGTGTAAGACCCATGTTAAGACCCATGTTAAGATGCAAAGAGGGTCAAGTGTGGGAGTTGAATTCCTATTAAGTATTTACTTTCCTACTAAGTATTTAAGTATTACTTCTATCTCACAGATACCATTCTGGAAAGCATAAAAGCATAAAAAATACTTTTACTTTTGGCATTAAGATTAAACATTATTTGATCTATTAATGTTATTTTGATTTGGCTGTAAATGGTCTGTAGCTTGGGTTTTGTTTTTTTTTTTTTAATGTTTATTTGGGGGTGGGGTCCAAGCAAGGGAGGGATGGGGGGAGAGAGAGAGAGAGAGAGAGAGAGAGAGAGAGAGAGAGAGAGAATTTCAAGAGCTGTCAGCACAGAGACCGATGCAGGGCTTGATCTCACGAACCATGAGATCATGACATGAACCAAAATCAAGAGTCAGACGCTCAACTGACTGAGCCGCCCAGGTGCCCCTGGTCTGTTGTTTGTTTAACTTTGTATGGTTTTGTCTAAAAATTATTGTAGACACTAGCTACCATGCTTGTGAAATTTTGTAGAAATAGAATTTATAAGGTACTTGCTGCTTCAAATGATCATATTTACACAATTTAAATAAACCACTTTTTCCTCTTTCTTCTTTTGTGAATGATATCAGATCCACCAAATTCCCTTACCAGAAATGGCTCTAAAGTGCAAGTATAGCTACTAATACCCCAGTGTCCTCAACATGTGTCTCTGAAGAGATAAATGACCTAGAAATATTCCCAAATTAAAACAACATAAAACAAAAAACACTCTAGAGTTTAAAGATTCCAAGTCAGGATGACAAATGTAAACAAACTATTTGCTTGAAAAAAAAAATCTACGAACTTTGAAGAGCACTAGAACTTGCACCACCATGGAAGGCAGTATTCTACAATGGCCCCCAAGATTCCCACCCTGGAGCATACACTTTGTGTATCCTCTCCCCCTGAGTATAGGCAGGACCTACCAATATGATGAGATAAAAGTTATCAGGTTACTAATAAGTGAATTGATTTTACTCAATCTAAAGGGATTATGTAGGTGGACCTGAGAGATTGGAGGTGTGAAGGGGCTTACAGAGGGAGTCATGTACCTATGCCTGAAGGCAGCCTCTAGGAACTTAGGGAAACCTTTGTCCAACAGCCTGCAAGAAATAGAGGCCTCAGTCCTACAGCTGCATGAAAGTGAATCCTGGCAATAACCTGAATGAGCATGGAAGAGGCCTTCAACCTCCGGATGAGACCCCAGCTCTCATCTATGGGAGCTCCATATTCTGTTGTGGGGAAGAGATGTCTCTCTTTAGAACTTTCCTGCTTGGATGGATGGTCTGTTGACTGGATGTTGTGCTTGGTAAGAATCACTTACGAGTTCATGAGGATGGCTTTATCAACAGTAAAATTAATTAATTCATCAATTCATTCATTCAAAAAATATTTGAGCACCTACCACAAGCCATGAATGCTTCCAGACGATGTTTTATATGACTATTTTATCTGATGGTACCCAATTTTTCCATTTTCTCTTCTAGATACTATATCGACCCTTCTTTTTATCTTGAGAGGTTAATTTTTTGGACTTCTATGTACTCTGGATTCAGCTAATGGAATAACAGGACAAGGAAAGAGTAGAAAGAAAGTGAAATCAGGAAGCTTACTTCTCTAGATTTTTCCCCAACGGGTTACTTTGAGCTAGCTGCATCCCTCCACTCTTGTTGGTGTTTGTCTCCTAAGCTACTCCCTCTCAGAGTAGCCCCCTCCCTTGTTCTACCCTTGGATGGGAAGAGCTCCCCACTACTGCTGGCCCTGGCACACAGACTCTCCCTTGTGGCATACCTAAACCCTTGTCACACCTTTCTAAACAGTTTCTTTATCAAACTGCCTTCATTTTTTTTTTTTTTTTGGTTTTTTTTTTTTGGTTTTTTTAATATATGAAATTTATTGTCAAATTGGTTTCCATACAACACCCAGTGCTCATCCCAAAAGGTGCCCTCCTCAATACCCATCACCCACCCTCTCCTCCCTCCCACCCCCCATCAACCCTTAGTTTGTTCTCAGTTCTCAACAGTCTCTTAGGCTTTGGCTCTCTCCCACTCTAACCTCTTTTTTTTTTTTTTCCTTCCCCTCCCCCATGGGTTCCTGTTAAGTTTCTCAGGATCCACATAAGAGTGAAACCATATGGTATCTGTCTTTCTCTGTATGGCTTATTTCACTTAGCATCACACTCTCCAGTTCCATCCACGTTGCTACAAAAGGCCATATTTCATTTTTTCTCATTGCCATGTAGTATTCCATTGTGTATATAAACCACAATTTCTTTATCCATTCATCAGTTGATGGACATTTAGGCTCTTTCCATAATGTGGCTATTGTTGAAAGTGCTGCTATAAACATTGGGGTACAAGTGCCCCTATGCATCAGTACTCCTGTATCCCTTGGATAAATTCCTAGCAGTGCTATTGCTGGGTTATAGGGTAGGTCTATTTTTAATTTTTTGAGGGACCTCCACACTGCTTTCCAGAGCGGCTGCACCAATTTGCATTCCCACCAACAGTGCAAGAGGGTTCCCGTTTCTCCACATCCTCTCCAGCATCTATAGTCTCCTGATTTGTTCATTTTGGCCACTCTGACTGGCGTGAGGTGATACCTGAGTGTGGTTTTGATTTGTATTTCCCTGATAAGGAGAGACGCTGAACATCTTTTCATGTGCCTGTTGGCCATCCAGATGTCTTCTTTAGAGAAGTGTCTATTCATGTTTTCTGCCCATTTCTTCACTGGGTTATTTGTTTTTCGGGTGTGGAGCTTGGTGAGCTCTTTATAGATTTTGGATACTAGCCCTTTGTCCGATGTGTCATTTGCAAATATCTTTTCCCATTCCGTTGGTTGCCTTTTAGTTTTGTTGGTTGTTTCCTTTGCTGTGCAGAAGCTTTTTATCTAAACTGCCTTCATTTTTTGATGTTTGACTGTGCTTTTTCCTACCAAGACCATGAAAATGTAGCACTAATAATCCCTCTGAAAATTTGGCATTTGGAACCATTGGATCAGGGAACTTGGATTCCAGTGTCAGTTCATCCTCTATATGAGGAACATAGTCTTTCAGGGACAGCCTTTCCTTCTCTGCACAATGAGAGAAGAGGTTTAAGGTTTTCATTAGGGCTCATAATCTATAAATCAGTAGGTGGGTTGTAGAGCTCACATTTTGAGATGTTGAGAGGAAATGTAATTTCTTGATTCAGACTTCTTCATGAATTTCAGCCCTTTCATGTTGGAGAAACTATATTCAGGCCAACCTACTGAAATAATAGAGCTATCCATTTAGATAATATTCAGTCTCTCTAGGTAAAAACCTCAGCCTCTTGAATTTCTCAGTTCAGTCTTCAGTCCCTTTTTCAGCTTCTCTCCAGGATAGCTTCTGAGTGAATAGAAGAAGGGGCTTATGCTGTGTGTTCTCATGACTAAAGAAGGGACTCCAGCTCCTTGGATTTACTTGGTAGCCTCTGATTCCTCTGAGCTCCAAAGCACCATCTCTTATTGGCTTTATTACAACTTGTCCTGAATAGCTTGTCCTGAAAAGCCTTTCATAAGGCTTAGGGCAGGGGTTGACAAACTTGTTCAATAAAAGGCCAGGTAGTAAATATTTTAGGCTTTGTGGACCCTATAGTCTCTGTTGCAGTCCAGCTCTGCAGCTCAAAAGCAGCCACAGACAGCATGTAAACAAATGGGTGTTTATCTTATTTATAAAATGGGAGACTGGGCTGGATTTGACCCATAGGCAATAATTTTCTGACTCCTAGTCTAGAGGTTCCTTGGCTGACTTGACCTCCCCTCACTCTCACTCATGTAGACCCTGCGCCTTGTATCCTTAGGCTCCAAGTGGCTCCATCTGGAACCCAGGTCTGAGGGGTCCACTACAAGCCTTGTTGTGAAGTCACCTCACTGATGCCAAGGTAAGCCTCAAGACCCCCTCTCAGAGCCAGGACACAGGGGAACAAAGGCTCTAGTCTCTTTCTTTGATTCCCCAAAGTGTCTGTTCCTCAGTTTAGTTGGTGTTCCCCTGCCTTAAAACTTTGCCCCGAGAAGAGAGAAAAAAACTAAGAACTCTGGAGGCTACTGTGCCTGTCCTCTTCTTCTCACTATCCCTTAGAGTCAGAAGGATCAGTTTTTTTCCCCCTGACCTTTATTCTTTCTCTACATATTCTAAGTCTTACCATAGAACAATAAGCTTCATGGTCTTATTGAGGTCAAATAATAAATAGGTTCAGAACTCTTTAAAAGTCAGTACCAGTTGTTCTATTTCCCACAACAAATTCATATCAGAAAATAATTAGATTCAGTACCAAGCTCACTAATGCTGAGTCTTACTCCACTGATCTCTATTCTTTGTGGACAAACTCAATGTTATTGCCTGAAGATTGGTTTATGGATTTTGGTTTCTTACTTCCCCATGAGAGGGTTCAAATGGCCACAGCTGCCGGGCCTATCATAGTGTAGTTTCAGACATCTGTACTGTGTTTCCTGATGTTCTTGATTTCCCCTATGCTTATGTAAATATAATGTGACTGACCTTTGGCCCAAGAAGTCTAACTTTACATGGAGAGATTGTTGAGGTGGGGAGAAGGGTGAGTTTCATGGTAAAGACTGACACATAGAGGTGAAAACGTGTTAGGGAGACAATTTATGAAAATGAGGAAGTAGACCAAGGAGAAGAAAAAATTATAGACAAAGATTGCCCAGGTAAGAATTCCATACTAAGAATGAATACTGTGGAAGACAAGAAATAACTCTGAGAAATGGATAGTGTATCTTTGGTGCCATCCTATGCCCATTTGGCATTTCCTCTATGGGTCTATGCCCTCTTCTGGTTCTCTGTGCTTGGCCCAGGGACACCTTCCCTAACCTCCCCTTTCTGTCTGCTATTTCCTTAATCCTCATTAGGATGTACTTCTGGATCCCTGGCCTAGGCAATGGTACTGCTAATGTGATGCTCACCTAATGGGTGTAAATATGTTGGCTCCGCAAGCCACTATCTTTAAGTCTAAGGTGAGGGTTTGGGTAGCCTGGGACTTGACTGATTCCAATGGAGATAATATCAAAAGAAGGGCAGTTGGGAATGGAAGCTGCACTGAAAGACCAGAGTCCCAGAAGTCATACCTGCCTAATCTAAACAATGAGGCAGCTCAAAACATGCATATCAGAATATCAAGTTTAAGTTTGATGAGAATAAAGTTGCAAGACTAAGGGAAGGTGGCAGGATGGGAGGGAGAGGGAGAGCATGTAAAGAAATATAATCAGAATCTATAAGGCACTTGTTGCTTCAAATAATTTTTTCCCATTAATACATTTAGTTTTTCATGGACAGCGTTTGAGGGGCAGTCTAACTTGCCAAGTACTCACTGTGCACCAGGAAACAGAAAGAAGCTTTATAAATATTGTCCAATTTAATCCTTCTCACAAATCTGCAAAATAGATAGCAGATCTAAATTCTAGCTGGAACTCAACGAGGGTATATTCCAAAAGCAGCTGCAGGAACTTACGTCAGGATTAGTTCTTAAGCAAATTTGTGAATATGTTTCAAAATGGTGACTTCCCTGAATCCACATGTCTTGGATAAGTTCTGAGATGAGGAGTGAGTGCAACCACAGCTTCCATATGCCCAATGCATAAGCCCAGCTTGCATCCACCCCACAATTCTTCAAATGGCTTACTTAACCATGTACTTGGTTTTTCCCTACAGTTTTAAGTTCCTGTGTCTTGTCTCATCAGGGGAAAAATGCTAATGGCAATCACAGCAGCACTCCACTATGGGGGAGTCAACAGGTCAGAGATGCTAGGAAGTGTAGCTCCTGATGCAGGGCCCGCTGCTATTTATAGTGGTAGGAATCAATTCTGCAAAAAGGAGGGGCGGGGGCAGCAGGATCATTGATTTAACTTGGAATTCCTCAGATCTTTAGCTTCACAATCCTTCCCCTCTCACTGCTCCAGTCTCTACAACACTACATATTGGTGTTTCCCAGCACTTCATTAAGAACTTCCCTAGACACAAAGATGGACACTCACTTAAAATCTCTATAAATTCTCATGACTGAGCATGCTCTCATTTATTCAATTAACAGTTATAGGAAGGTTGTGTGTTCTAGGCATGTTCTGGGTCCAAAACAAGACAGAAGCATGTCCTCAAGAGACTTGTGATCTAATTAGAAGAGAGATATGTGGACAAGTAATTGCAATGCCATGTGATGAGTGTCCTGATTGTTGGATGTATAGGGGAAGAGCAGATGAAGGATGAGAAAGGCCAAGGAAGGTGTTTGTAGAGGGGGCCATGTTGAATGAGGATGAGTTTGCAACTAGACAAGTGTGGGGGGTGGGGGGAAACATCCAAGCAGTGGCAGTAGCAGGTGCAAAGACCCAGGAGAATGAAACAGTCTAGTGCCTTTGTAGGGGACAAGTGGATAGAAAAGTTCAACTAGGTTAAAGGAGGCAAGGGTCAGATGATGAGAAGATTTGAATGTATTGCTGAGGACCTTGGGTCCTTTCTTTATTTTGTAAGTTATGGGGAGGTTGAGGAATTCCTGACACCTTTCAACTATGAGGGAGTAGAGGTTTGTCTCAGGCAAGGTCAGTGCTTTGCACTCTCCCTTTCTTCCTTTCTAGGATCTGCTTGTGACGTGCACCATCAGGTGCCAGAGGCTGAGTTAATCACATTTCTGTTTCATGGCACCCTTGTTGTTGACATGGGTCAACATAGCCCCTCATTTATTTCATTATATTTTATTTTTATTTTATTTCATTTTTCCCCTTCAGTCATGATCCCTGCACACTCATTCCTTCCTCCCCACAGAGGCATCCACTCTGATGGATTTGGCAGATGTCCTCAGATATTTATGTATGCCTATAACATATGCTGTGCTCTTTTGTACATGTATGTGTTAATTCACACAAAGGGTATTGTGGTGTAACTTTTTTTCATTCAACACCATGTTTTATGATCTATATTGTGGCTCTATGTGTATTTCATTTATTGCTTCCTACTCGTGCGTAATATCCCACAGAATCTAGTCACATTTTCTGATCCTTTCCCCTGAAGTTGAACAATTCAAGGTTGACTGCTCTCTAGAAAAGACAGCACGGCAATAAACATCCTCATATATGTCCCCTTATGGATCTATCTGGGTAGGAATTTCTTTAGGATATGTAATGAAGACTAGGGTTGTGAATATGAGTTTACAAATCTTTGGCTTACCAATTATTGGCAGATTGCTCTTAAGAATAGCTATACAGTTTACGCTTCCACTCATAGTACATGAAAGTACGTGTCCCTTCATCCTCACCAAACGTGGTATTTTCTGACTTTATAATTTTTACCAAATTTGTGTACATCAAATGACATCTCATTTTAATATCTATTTCTCTGACTGCTAATGTGGTTGAATATCTCTTCAATGGTCTTATAACTGTTTAGATTTCCCTTTATGTGAACTCCTCATTTGTATTCTTTTTTGTTCTGCTAGGCTTTCTTTCTTTTCTTATTTATTTGTAAGTATTCCTTGTGATATTAATTCCAAGGGATATTAATCTCTAGGTTTGTTTAATCATTGCAAACATCTTTTCCCAAGGTGTCACTTGTTAATTGTATCCATTGCATTCTTCATTGAGTAGAAAAATACTCTAGTTTGTTTATTTATTTTTGAGAGAGAAAGAGAACACCTGGGGGAGAGGCAGGGAGTGGGAGAGAGAGAGAATCCCAAGCAGGCTCTGCACTGTTAGCACAGAGCCGAACATGGGGCTTGAACTCATAAACCATGAGATTATGAACTGAGCCAAAATCATGAGATGGACGCTTAACTGAGCCAACCCAGGTGCCCCTTGGCTGTATAATTTTAATCTTTTATATTTAGGACTCGTTGATCTGAAGTTCACTTTTGTGTATGGTGTGTATGGTGTAAAGGATCTACATTTGTTTTTCTCCAAATGTCAAGAAAGTTACCCGACTCCATCTACTAAAGAATCTACTTCTTCCCACTGACGTGAGATATCACCTTTTTCATTTATCAAGTACCCATATGTCAGTGGGTATATTTGGAGGACTCTATTTTGTTCCATTGTTCTGTTTGCCTATTTCTACAGCATTAGCACAATGCTTTATGATAGCTCTTATTTCTAATAGGGTAAGTGTCCTTTGCGTTTATGGATTCATTTGGGGAGAACTGTTACTTTAAAACAAGTAAGTCATTTCATCCATTAACATAAAAAATCTTTAGTCAGTTCTTTATTCAGATTCTTTCTTTTTTACCCTTTTAAAGATATAAAGCTTTAGATTTTTCTCCATAGAAGTCTTATGCATACTTTATTATTTCATTCTTAGACTTTATATAATTGCTGTTTCTGTGAGTGATGTTGTTTTCAAATTATATTTTCTCTTTAATTGTTAGTGTAATGAGGGGCTCCTGGGTGGCTCAGTCGGTTGGCCATCCAACTTCAGCTCAGGTCATGATCTCACAGGTTCGTGAGCTTGAGTCCCATGTAGGGCTCTGTGCTGACAGCTCAGAGCCTGGAGCCTGCTTCAGATTCTGTGTCTCCCTCTCTCTCTGCTCCTCCCCCACTTGCTCTCTCTCTCTCTCTCTCTCTCAAAAATAAATAAATATTAAAAAATTAAGAAAAGACTGTTCGTGTAATGAAAACACTAGCTCTCTTATTCTGATAGGCTGTTAATTCTGAAAGTTTTCCATGTAGGTAATCATGTTGCAGCAAATAGTGATAAAATAAAGTCTTTTCCTTTACCATACTTTCACTTCCAGTTTCTTTTTCTGTGTCATTACATTGGCCAGGACTTCCAAAAGAGTGGTGATGACTGTTTTCTTGCCTGGTTTTTTTATTTCAAAATGGCTGCATTTAAAGTTTCCCTTATAAGTGTGGTGTTTGCTGTGGGTGGCAATGTAGAGCCCTTTAATACATTCCAGAAGTTCCCTTCTGTTTTTAGTTATTTGAGAGTTTGTATTTTTATATTACAAATAGTTGTTCAGCTTTTTCAAATTCTTTTTAAGCTTCTCTGGGATGGTTATGTAATTTTTTTCCTTTTCAGCTCATTAATATGATGATTTACATGGACAGATTTTCTGTTATAAAACCATTCTTCATCCTGGGATAAATTTTATTTTATAATATTATCTTTTAAAAACACTGGTAGGTTCAGTTAGATTTTTTTTTTTTTTAGATTTTACATTCATTTCCACATATGAAATGGGTATAATTTTCTTCTACTACTATATTTTGTACGGGAATCCAGGTTATACAGACTTCATGAAGTGAGTTGGGTAACTTTCTCACTTTTTCTACTTTCTGTAACAACTTGCATATGGGAGGAATCATATATATTTCTAAGAATTTGGTAGAATTTACTTATATAATTGTCTGGGGTTGGAGAATTTTTATTCTTTTTATGCAAAGGTGAATTCTTTTATTATTTTTCTGATTTGACTAGTCTATTTACATTTTAGATTTCATCTTGCATTGTTTTGGCATTTGTATACTTTTTTTAACCTTTATTTATTATTGAAAGACAGAGAGAGACAGAGTGTGAGCAGGGGAGGGGCAGAGAGAGAGGGAGACACAGAATCTGAAGCAGGCTCCAGGCTCTGAGCTGTCAGCACAGAGCCCAGTGTGGGGCTCAGACTCACAAACCACAAGATCATGACCTGAGCCGAAGTGGGACCCTTAACTGACTGAGCCACCCAGGCGCCCCTGGCGTTTGTATACTTTTGTATAGACACTTAAGTGTTCAGATACATTGGTGTGTGTATACATGTATCTGTGTAATTTCAAATTTCTAATTTCTTTCTGTGTTTTGCTTATTTGCAATTTCTCTCTCTCATCTTTTCCCTCCTTATCATTCTTGCCTGAAGCTTGTCTATTTTATTGATCTGAAAAAAATTTAAGGTCTTGCGTTAGTTAATTTCTCTAGTTTGGAGTGTTGTTATTTTTCAGTATTTTATTGATTTATCATGTTTATGACTTCTTTCCTTCATATTTCTTTGGGCTTTCTCTGTTGTTCATTTTCACTTGCTGAGGTGAGCATTTAGCTCATTAGTTTTAAGTCTTTCTTGTTTTCTGGTATGTTTTTTAAATCTATAAATTTCCTTCTAAGTAGTGATTTTGACTGGTATATTTTTAATACCATTTAATTTTAAGTTTTATTTTTTGTTGTTGTTGTTTCAAGTTTTTATTTAAATTCCACTTAATTGGGGCACCTGGGTGGCTCAGTCGGTTGAGCGTCCAACTTCGGCTCATATCATGATCTCTCAGTTTGTGAGTTCAAGCCCCGCGTTAGGGCTCTGTCAGCTCAGAGCCTGGAGCCTGCTTCGGAATCTGTGTCTCCCTCTCTCTCTACCCCTTCCCCTCTCATGCTCTGTTTCTATCTGTTTCTCAAAAAATGAATAAACGTTAAAAAAATTTAATTCCACTTAATTAACAGGTAGTGTTATATTAGTTTCAGGAATATAATTTAGTGATTCATCACTTACATACAACACCCAGTGCTTATCACAAGTGCCCTCCTCAATACCCATCACTCATTTAGTCCATCCCCTTACCCACCTCCCCTCTGGCAACCCTCAGTTTGTTCTCTATAGTTAAGAGTCTGTTTTATGGTTTGCCTCTCTCTCTCTTTTTTTTTAAATTTCTTTTTTTTTTTAAGTTTATTTAAGTAATCCCTACACCCAAAGTGGGGCTTGAACTCACCACCCTGCGATCAAGAGTCACATGCTTTTCTGGCTGAGCCAGCCAGGTGCTCCTAAGTTTCCTTTTTAACCGAAGGGTTTGTGTATTTTTTAGTTTCCAGGCATGTACATTAAAAATTTTTTTTCTTGTTACTGATTTCTTTCTATACTAATTTTATCGCATACTGTCAGGTAATATATCACTTGATTCTTTGGAATTTCTTGTGGCTTTCTCTGTTTCCTATTACATTGCTTATTGGTAGAAATGTTTCATATGTGCTTGAAAAAGAAGTAGTATATTCTCTCTTAAAGATCATAGGTACATGATAGATAGGTGGATAGACCCAAACTCTCAGTTTTGTTATTAAATCTTTTTCATATTTGATTTTTTAAAAATCTGAACAAAAGCCGGCTATATGGACTTAAAATTTCCTAATCCAGAGTAGAATGAGTGTCAATAAAAGATTGGGCATGAGCTGGGTGGTAGGGGAGGGAATTTTTTCCCCTCTGTGTCCAATATGGTGATATTATGCTGATAACTTATTCTTATAGAGACATGTATTTTATTTACAGTTGTAAGAAGAGTGGAAGCAGAGAATGAAGGAAGAAAATGCTTGAGGTTTGGCTGAATGCTTCCTCCCAGTGGAAGGAAAATTAAAGAAAGTTGCTCCAGTTTAGGCCCAGTGGATGGCTGATAACCCACAGAAAGGTAATGTGTGTATGTACGTGAGAGTGGGAGTGTGTGTGTGTGTGTGTGTGTGTGTGCGCGCACTTTTCATGAACTGTAACACTTGGTCACCAAACTGCTTTGCTTTAGGACATCTTGGATGGTGGAAAACACAAAGAAGAGGGAACACTTTACTATCACCCCCAAATCGCTATTTTCCTGAACAAAACAAGAAAGCTCACTGCTGTGTTTGGCAGGAATAAGTAATTATATTAGAATCACTTTTTTTTTTCATAATTCTTAATTTGTGTGAGTAAACCTCAAGTTTACCAGAATTATAGATGGGGGTTTCACATTAATGGAGTAATTGGGCCTGAGACTAATATTTTTTAATGCATGTGAACTACCCTGGGACCCTTAGACATATTTTGGGAAGGGGACTCTTTAAAAAGACTGGATAATCAATCAGGAAAGGGCTCAGGGCCATTGTAGTTTGGCCATTTAAATGTTAAAATGACTTAATTTGTATTCACAGATAGCGATATACTGGTTTTTATATGTGTGTGTGTCTTTGTGTGTGTATTACCATATTACATGTATCTAGAAAAAAAACCCATATGTGGTGAGTATGTAATTTTTTCCTCACAAGTAGCATACAGCTTTGTTAGCCTGCTTCATCCATTAAACAATATGTCATTGATACAGTATAATAGTTAAAAATATTACTAGTAATCCGCAGTCAGAAAGAATTAATCCATTTGAAAATTCTAAGTATTCACTCACTCCTAGCTTGTCTGATCAGACTCAATTTACTTAGCAGGGAAGTATCCAAACATTTAAGTATGCAAATGTGTAAAGCCAAATGAGACATCATTTAATTCCTTTATTGTCTTACAGTGAAAGAGAGCAAATGAGCAAGTTGATGGCTTTATGCCAATTATTTTTACTACGATTTCTTTTATGCTAAGGTATAGCTGAAGGCAAGCCCTCAAATTCCAGCATGAACATGCAGCAGCAATAACATGAATATTTTAGGGGCTATAAGATTCTTTTCATGGCTTATGGTTGGAAATAAAAAATTTAAGTTGCAACTGCTTTGGAAAATATGTCATAAACGACTGGGACTAAATGTAAGAGTGTGTGTGTGGCCTCCAACCCAAACGTTCTTCTAAAAGACCCAAGTCCTCAGTGTTCAAGGCCCTCCTCAATGAAACACTCTTTCTCCCTATTTTTCTAGGTTAGTTTTTTACTGCTCAGCCCACTGACTCAGCTCCACACCTCCCTCCAGCCACACAACTTTCTTGAACAGGACATGCATTTTCGCATCAAGGAATATGGCCCAAGGACTATCTTCAGATCCCAAGGCCAGCACACCAGAAGTGCAATGGCGAAAATACTGAGAAACTCAGACCGAGACTGTCTGAGCCAGAGAGAGCAGCAGGCTAACAAGGGTTAGGTCATGACCTCCAGCATGACAGCTACGTTTCCTCTACTCTTTGCCACCAGACTGCACGCTTAACTTCACCTAGTCCTCTTGCAAACTGGTTTTATCGATTAGAATGGTGACCATAGCAGGGACCACATGGAAACCTCTCTCTTAAGCAAACTGCAAGCCCCTGTCCCAATGACAGCTTGTAGGGAGCATCCATTCACTCACACTGAGAGGGAGACATTACTAGTTTTGAGGAGAACTAACCAATCAGAGTATTTAGCCTATTTGTTTAAGGATGGTTTTCCCCATCTAAGAAATAGAAAAAAGTACAGTGTTTCTGTGTTTAAAGCACATCAAGAATTAATGAACCTCATTCTCTTTCTCTTACCCAAGGCATATATCCCTGTTTAAAACCACAAAGTGCTGACCCAGCCAGTGGTTCCAGAACCCAGGGCCTCAGCACAGCATTTTAAAGACTCATCCTCATAATGAATTACTATTTTAGTTATAGTCCTGGTAACATATGGTGAATGGAAAATACTTTCTGTAGATTAAACAACATAGTTCCCATTAATGGTTTTCTATACTTGAGAACTGAAAGAGATTTTAACTAACTGTTGGTTTGGTGCAGTTTCTGCTGAATTATTTAAAACACCTCCTTCCTGCTTTAACCATGAATTTGCATTAGAAAGTACAATGCCAATTAAGATTCCTCCATTGCCTCAAATGCTCTAAAAATAAATACAAGCTAAATCCCAATCACAAATACATTTCTCTCTTCATACTCTGACCTTCTTGTTATCCTAAGCTTAGGCAAAATAAAGAAACGATACAAAAATTTGCAGAAAGAGATGGCGAAAGTTAGGAAATTAAGAAGATTAAAAAAAATTACCATCTAATGGATGGCTCTTTGGACATGCTGGAGACACACAGAGTTCTATATGTAGGTGGAAAACTCAACGTTTACTAGTACAAGTTCTCCCAATTCCAGGATTACTTAATATAAAATATAAACATAAGTTATTTACATGTATATAAAACCAGAAGTTGAAGATATTGGCTTAGCTAGCTGATTTGAATTTTATTTACTGTGATAAACAATCAAAAGTGAAAATCCAATACAATGCATAACTTTGGCTGGGCATGTTTTAGTTGCCTGTTTATTTTTGCAAAGCTGAGTGTTTCTCTTGCTCTTGGCAACCTCCCCCCCACCCCCAAGCCTTGTCTCATGGCTTTCTTCCCATGATATGAAGATTAGCTAGTGACTTTAAGTCTGCATCAGATAACTTTCTCACAGTAGACCCCAAATGTCTCATATTTTTCACACCACTTCTTTGACCTCTACAGGCCGCTCTTCCCACCTGGCATGTCTGCTGCTCGCTGCCTCCTGTCCCTTCCACCCATTCAAAAACACTCTCCGTAAGCAAGCTCTTCCACAAAAGAATTCTCAGCTAATCCCTCTAATTATAGCATTCTGATCACTCTATATCCTGGTACACATCCACTTTCCTAAAGAAGTTTGCAAATGTGATTTTGAGGTACTTCTGTGTTGCCACACATTTTCACTTGGGTACATCCTGGCTGACTAGTACAATGTCTTCTTCACAGAGCTCAATATAGGTTACTGCGGGACAAATGGAAGCTTAGTTTCAGTTTGAACCAGAGTGCCATCTACTGGTGTAAGCGTTAACAATACCATCAACATGATTACATTCAGCCCAGTGAACATACTCAATACGCATGATGCACGCCAGCTCTCATGGTTTGATTAAAAAATAAGGGATATATGGGGTGCCTGGGTGGCGCAGTCGGTTAAGCGTCCGACTTCAGCCAGGTCACGATCTCGCGGTCCGTGAGTTCGAGCCCCGCGTCAGGCTCTGGGCTGATGGCTCAGAGCCTGGAGCCTGTTTCCGATTCTGTGTCTCCCTCTCTCTCTGCCCCTCCCCCATTCATGCTCTGTCTCTCTCTGTCCCAAAAATAAATAAAAAAACGTTGAAAAAAAAATTAAAAAAAAAAGGATATATTGGGGCGCCTGGGTGGCTCAGTAGGTTAAGTTAATGACTCTTTTTTTTTTACTGTTTATTCATTTTTGAGAGAGAGAGAGAGAGAGCGCGCGAACAGGGGAGGAACAGAGAGAGAGAGAGGGGGACACACAGAATCTAAAGCAGGCTCCAGGCTCTGAGTTGTCAGCACAGAGCCTGACACGGGGCTCGACCTCACGAACTGCGAGATCATGACCCAAGTCAAAGTCAGACGCCCAAAGTCAGATACTCCGTGAGTGACTCTTGATTTTACTCAAGTCATGATCTCATGGTTCATGAGATTTAGCCCTGTGCCAGGCTCTGAGCTGACAACGCGGGGTCTGCTTAGGATCCTCTACCTCTCTCTCTGCCCTTCCCCTGATCACACTGCGTGTTCTTTCTCTCTTCTCAAAATAAATAAATTAATTAAAAAAAGAAAGAAAGAATAATATCAAAGCAATACTTTGCTCCTACCCTTAGTAACATCTATGTTTTCAAAAGAGAAATGGCAATGGAATAAGATTCTCATTTTGATCCTCTAAATAATAAAACCATCATCTCAAAAAGATGGGTGTGAATTCTGGACTATGTCCTCTGGCTGTTTTGTAAACTATTTATTGAAAAAAATATCACATGAATTGAGGAACTGAAACGATATACAATACAATGTCAGGATGCCACTAAGGCCTATGGAAATGGCACTGTTTTACGAGGAAGACAAAGTTTTTGTTTTTGTGTTATTCCAAGAATTTAGCCCTTCCATAGGGCGAGCCATCCCTTCAGGATGATCACATCCTTGAGTCATAAACCTCTGAGTTGGCACAATTTCTCAGCACGAAATGGAAGGACTGTATAAAAAAGCAATATTAAAAATACTTAGTCCCTGTTTATCAGGCTAACATTGTCGTCTATTAAATAATTTCTTAAACCCTTTAATAATTCCATCTTTCTACTCAGTCTAAATCCCATCACACTGTGGGTAAATTTAAAATCGCACAAAGGTGGGTCTGTAAGTTAAGAGAAAACTTTTCTTTCCTTACACAGAGGCTGACTTAGGCAGCATAGGATCATTAGTGACCAAACAGATGCCCCCATCTGTAACCCAGAGACAGTTCTCAGCTGTACAGAGAACCTTTCATTTCCTACGTAGAGGTGAACTCAAAACGTGTCACTGATTTTTGCACCCTCTTAATCTTCCTGTTTATTCTGTGCTTCATTAAAGTCAATCTCCACAGGGCAGACTGTCATCTGAGCTCGGCCTGTCCTGCTGTCTTCTCTCTCCAGAGAGCATCCTTCATCCTGATAAATGGGCTGTGAGCTGAGCACGTGACTGAGCTCCTTAAGGTAAATAGATTACAGAGAGCTGCTCCTTCCACACCGGCTCAACAGAATTTGATAAGCAGGATCATTGACGTGGGCATCACAGTGGAGACAATGTTTTCTGAAAGATGGGGTTTCAGATTTACTGTTGTAAAATGAGATAGAGAAAATTTTTTTTTCATTGTGTCATACCATAGCTTTAAGGCTGCATGAGCTATTGTCATTCATCTGCCAAGTGTCTCCCTCAGGATTTAGCATCATTTATAGGATGTCTTCTGCATGCCAGGCTCTCTGCTAGGGACTAGAGACATAAATGTACACACAGGGAGGAGAAGTGGTAGCAGTGGTAGGAGATGTAGTGAGGCTCTGTGGGAAGCCATAAAGCGTGCCACCATCACAACACCAGCCCGTGAGCTCAGTTCAGTACCCCACATGTTGTGGCAAGGGTAAAGGTATGGACAGCTCAAAAGAGGTTGGAAGCCTCCATCCTGGATGACCAGGGCAAGATCTATGTGGAAAGTGCTACAGTGAAGCTCACTCCCTCTTAGCTGAGAAGAAGAAGGTCAAGGAGGCTTCCCACCCACCCCACACCTCACTTTTTCCAAGGTCTGGGTAGCAGAAATCCAAGATCCTCCTCAATAATGACTGCAGATCAGCGAGAAGCCTGGACAGCCACGCAGATGGTGTCCTGTTCTGCGAGGGACCGCTTCTAGCTCCTGCCTCGCGTCTAGATTATTCAGTGATAAAAGCAGTGGTGAAGAGCTCTGTGGGATGTGAGAGGGTGTCAAGGGCAAGGGCTGCAACATCTATGGGCTGCCAACCCATACAAAGCCACCATCGTCCGAGATTAATTCAACTAACTACTCTGTGTTAGCCCTTAAGTTCTCGCTGGACCACACAGGCCTCTCTCTCCTCTGAGCTCCTCTTGTAATTTACAGTTTGGCTTTTTCTTATATTCAGCCTCATAATATAATTATTCCTTGTATGTTGTGCGACCACAACAAGATTACATTTGTGTCTTCTTTGAAGAGAGAGATACACAGCAGACACGTAGCTGGCGTCTAATGCTTAATCTAAACTGGGAATCAGAAAATAAGAGCTTGTAGAAACTTCCCTCCTTTAACAGAATAGGAGGCAGATTTAGAGAATTGCTGCTTTATTCGTTCTACAAGTGTCTCATGAAACTTTCAAGTCACTGTGCTAGGCTCTGTAGAGGAGACAGAGATGGGTCCAGTTCCCATGCACCTGTCAGTGATGCATGAAAAAGAGGATGTGTGGCCTAATCACCACAAGTGGAATCCATAAGGAAGGTAAAAATGAGTCTGAGAGATGCCAGGTGAGGGAGGTGATGGGTCACCTGAACTTGATGAAGGATTTGATGTGGGAATGGGGAAGGGTATAAAGTGTGAATGTATTTTGGCCTTCACCAAGCTTTTCGTCTCACTCAAAACCAGCCTACAGGAGTCAGCGGAGACAACTGTGATGGTGGTTACCATCCATGCTGGACCCCCTGACGGTTTGCTGAAAGGCACACTTTCATCCACCAGAATGTGACTGTCTCAGCTCCTTGCCCATGAAGACGTCTGTCTCTTTTTTCTCTCATGTCTGTTTCACTCCCCCGCTCTCCCAAGTGCAGGGAAGATTGCAGTCCCACTTTAACCTTTAGCAGTTGGCTAGGCTTGGACCCTATCCTGTTCCAGCCCCAGAATGCTAGACCAAGGCACGTCTGTGGGCCCAGCTCCCCACCACCCACATGGGGAGCACACCGAGCATCCCACCTTGGGTCTGGCCCTGGTTATCATGGGGTTCAAAAGGTTTCCCTGGAGACAGAACAGAGTACTGCCCAACTCTCTGCCTCCAGGGTTTGCATTTCCCACGGAAGGAAGCCAGGCTATTTCTGGGAAAAGCTGGAGGAGGTTAAGCAAATTCAGACTGCATGGGAAAGAGTTTTCTGAGCCCTCTCTGCTACTCAGCCCCCTGCCCCCCCCCCCCACTCTTCTGTCCGGTGGCCCTTCACAGCCTTCCTCCCTGCACAGACATGTCCTTTGCCCAAGCCAGGACCTTATTGCTCATTTTTCCTGACCCTCCCTGGAACTTGGCTCTGCACAACCCCCCCCCCCCACTCCCCTGCATCCTGCCTCAAGGAGTAGCAGTTTCAGCCTCTTTCTTGCTTCTGTTCATGCAGCATCCTCCTCACCGGGCATCTCCTGTGGTAGAAGAAAGTACTTCACCCTCCACATCTGCTTGCTTCTTTTGTCTCTCTTTCCTCATTCCCTTTGCAATTAGGGGAAAGGAAAGAAGCATCGGGATGCCAGGACAGCAGCATGGGATGGGGGCAGCACAGAGATGCTGCATAATGCACCTCTCCTCTTAACATAAAAGCCTGCCCCCACAATTTCCTCTCCATTATTCCCTCTAGACCTGGGTCTTCAGCTTCCTGCCCTCACCTTAACTGGAAACTGGGTAAAAGCCACATCAAGAGGAGTTCTGAAAATGGCATGTGGATGAAAAGGGAGCCTCTTGGAGACTCTGGTGGCTGGTGAGGACCTCATGCCTTCTGATTTCTTAAGCTTCTGTCTGGTGGCACAAAGAGTGGGTATGTCAGAAGACCCTCCAGGCCAGGGTTCCCAGGGTGTCTTCCCTTCTGGCCTTGAGGCTTCCTCTCAGGTATGACCAATTCTAATTCACTATTGCTTTAGAGTTGTGAGATCATTTTCCCTTTAAAAAAATTGTTTTTAATTAATTTACTTATTTTGAAAGAGAGGCAGACAGACAGGAGGAATGAATGAGGGGCAGGGAGACAGGGGGAGACAGAATCCCAAGCAGGCTCCACCCTGCCAGCACATAGCCCAATGCGGGGCTTGGACTCACAAAACCTCAAGACCATGACCTGAGCCGCAACCAAGAGTCAGACTCTTAACCGACTGAGCCACCCAGGTGCCCTTATCCTTTTCACTTTTTATTTTTTAAGTTCCTGTGTCCCAAAATTTAGTACAAGTAAACATTTATATACAGCAAAATATATGGTCCAGTTCTAATCCTTTGGTAGATGTGCGGTTTCACATTGTCTAATGTCACCCTATCTGAGATAGAGCAATAAATCAGGGCTGTGCCCAATTTGATTTCTCCCACCTTCCAGCTACTCCTCACTCTTACCATCTACTCATGGATGATGGGGCCTTGGTCTTAACCACCCATCCATCAAGCAAGCACTGACGGTGCTGATGCTGCCAGACTGAGCTCACACTGTTGGCCCAGAACTTCCAAGTACTTTAAAACAATCTTTGCTTAGGACTTTTTGTAGATTTGGACCGAGTGTAAAGGCTAAAGGGGAGACCTTAGTGTCACAATAGGTGCCAGAGGCCTGATATTTGAGAGTGGAGGCTGCAAATTCTAGACCCCTGGCCTGATGTGACCGCCCAGAGCTCTGAGAACCTGTAGTCACAGAACAGCCCCGCTCCGGCCAGTCTGAGAGGTAAGGAAGGTCATTGGACCAGGGTCCCACCTGAGCCTTCTCTACTTCCACTCTCAAGACCCTATTAGGGGTTGTTAAATGTCTTAGATAAGCTCATAGTTAAGATTCAGGAGATATTCACTGGCAAAAATGACATGAAATGCACAGCGAATAAGTACTTATTATTTTTCTCCTCAAAAGAGGCTTAACACCAGTAAAAACTGAAAATAGACACAAAATAGTTTTAATTTTGAATATTGTTTAATGGAAGCATTTGAGTGTGTGATAAAGAGTATTTTTCTCAGCCTACTAAGCAAATACTTCAGAATCTGTGAACCAAGGCTGACTGAGCCAAGGACGCTTTCTCTCCACATCTAAGCCTTGGCTCCCTCTAGTGTCCCTGTCTCTGCCTCTGTTTCAGCCCTAAAATGCCTGGAACCTACCATCTCTATCAAATGGGGATTCAAAGCCCAGTTCAACTAATTGTCTTCCTGTTACCCCTCCATGGTTACTGTTGATCACATACTTCTCCTTTCTCTATGAGCTCCATTGTTCTCTTAAAACTGACATTTTATTATATTCAGTTCATAAGATAGTTGTTTTATGTGTATTGTTTTCCCTGCCCCCCATCAGAATTGTCTTTTTAAAAATTTATTTATTTTAAATTCCATTATAGTTAACATATAGTGTTAGTATCAGGTGGACAGTATAATGAATGAACAATATTATACATTACCCAGTGTTCATCATGATAAGTATACTCATAACCCCTTCACCTCTCACCCATCCCTCTGCCCACCTCCCCTCTGGTAACCATCAATTCTCTGTATTTACGTGTTTATTTTTTTGTCTCTTTTTTTCCTTTGTTCATTTGCTCTGTTTCTTAAATTACACATATGAGAGAAATCATATAGTATTTGTCTTTCATTGACTACCTTATTTCAGTTAGCATTATGCCTTCTCAATCCCTCCATGCTGTTTCAACTACAGTCGTGTCTTTGAAATGGGGAACATATAACATCAGACATGCAATAGGTGCCTAATACCTTAAATTTGGGAATCAGAATATTAGAGTCAGTATGACAGCTATTACAGTTTCCCCCTTTCACAAAATGGGAAAGACATCCAGAGAATAGCTGCATCATTCATTCTACATGTGCCTAAGCAAACTTTTAAGTCACTGTGCTGGGCACTGTGAAGGAGAAGGAGATGGCTAACAGATGGGCCTATCTCCCATGCACCTGTCAGTGAGGCATGAAAAACAACATGTGTCCCCATCACCAAAAGTGGAAACCATAAGGAGGGTAAAGATAAGTCTGAGAGATCTCAGGTGAGGAAGATTGTTTATCAGCTGAGGGACTCAGTAGTTTTGTGGAGAAGGTAGCACTTGAACCTGATCTTGAAGGATTTGATGTGTGGGAATAGGTGAAATGTATATTTCACATTCGGGGAAGGAAATTTGAAGAACTTCAGAAGCTAAGACTAGGAAGCCTTAGAGCCCTATTACAGCAAGCCTTGAATACCAGCCAGGAAGCTTAACCCCAACTGGTAAGCAGGAAGCACTACTGAAGGAATAACTTGTAAAAAGTTCCAACTTCTTGAACATGTATTGAACTCCTTTTTAAAAAGTGAATTCTTCATCCTTGAGGGTGTTTAAGTACACACTGGATGTGCTCTTACCTAGCCATCTATTTATGATTTATGGATAGATTCATAGAAAGGACTCATGCATGGACTGGGTAAGGACCTGCTAAGGTCCCTTCTAATTGAGATTACCCAGTTAGGATTTTTCAAACAGAAACTGGCACTATGTTACAGGAGACAAGTGTGTATTTCTTTTTGTACTTCATAGGTGCTCAATTAGTGCTACCTTAACCAATGAATGACATGAACATCAGAGTGCTTTAGGAAGAGGAATTTGGAGGTGAGACTTAAACTAGAATAGCAAGAAGAGAGAGCCTGCATCCAGGGAGCCTGGATGGAACACCATGATCATTTTCAAGGCCTAGACTAGGTTAGTGGAAATGGGAATGGAAAGTGGATTAACAATGTGGATGCTGAATCAAGGTTACTATTTTGTTGTAATTATCTGTAACCCTCCTCAATAGACAGAAAATCTTGTGAAAGCAAGAAGTGTACCTCATTTGACTTGATATCCCCACTACCTAACAATGACTAACACATACAAGTGCTCAACATGTTTTAAATGAGTTTGTGGAGTAAATGTTGACTGGCTTAATGAGTAAGTAGTTGCAATGGTGTTAACTTGAGAGGAACTGCTGGACAAGGGGCAACTCGAGTCTCGGGATATGAACCCAGGACTTGAGTGGTCCTGGCCCTGGTGTGAAGGGAACTCAGGAGACAGCAGCTCCCTCTACTTCCTCACTCTGCAGTCTCTCTAATCTCTGCCAGGTAGGCCCTCATTCATACAACCTTATCGTGATTAGGTCTTCTCCACCCTTCTTGCCCTTATCTCCCATTTTCTTGTTTTACTTCTCATCAGGATTTGACACAGTTGACCATTTCACTCTTGGAATAGTCCCTTCACTTCCAAGACTTGATTTTCTTCCTATCTTGCTGACGGCTTCAGTTCATTCTAGTAATTCTGATTTATTTAACTTCCTATTCCCAATTTTTAAATCAATGGTTCTCAGCCTTAGCTGCATGTTAGAATCACAGGAAGCTTTTAAATCTCTTGATATTCAAGTTGCACCCCAGACCAATTAAATAAGAATCTTTGAGGGGTGGGTCCAGGTTCAATATTTATTTAAAGCTCTCCTGCTGATTCCAGTGTTGTAAACCACAGTTCCAAGTATTAGTGTTCCTTAGAGCTTAGTCCTAAATCTCTCCCCATCTTTGGCTCTACCCCTCAGCCCACGGGTTTCAAGTATCCTTATCATGTTGATCTAGACTTGTAGCCCCAGTTTCTCCTCTAAGCTATAAACTCATATATGTAACTGCCTATTCGAGATCTCCACTGAGATGCAGACATCTCAAATTTAACAAGTCCAACTGGAAATCTTGACTTTCCTTGCTTCCAAATCTGTCCCTTCTTAGTATCCCCCTCTTAGTTGATAGTATCATTTGTCCAGTTGTGCTGGCAAAGACAGCTTGGCAGCTATCTTTGGTTCCTTCCTTTCTGTCACTCCTCACATCGAATCCACCATTGAGCCCCGCTAGTTTTCTTTCTAGAATACATTTTAGACCCAACCACTTGTCACTACCTTTCTCAATCCTCATGTGCTCTGCAGCTGTGGCTTCCTGTGTGTTCCCTGACTTCACTCTTGCTCCCTTACAGTCTTTTCTTCATACAGCTTGTGGAGAGATCCTCAGGAACATATGCCATATCATATTTCTTCCTACTCAAAAAGGTGTCTTGTGGTTTCCTATTACATTTAAAACAAAATTCAAACTCTTGGGGTTCATGGGTGGCTCAGTTGCTTAAGTGTCTGACTTTGGCTCAGGTCATGATCTCGTGTGTTGTGGGTTCAAGCCCCACATCCGGTTCTCTGCTGTCAGCAAAGAGCATGCTTTGGATCCTCTGTCCCTCTGTCTCTCTGTCTCTGTCTCTCTCTCAAAAATAAACAAACATTAAAAAAATTCAAACTCTTGAGTTTAGCCTTCAGGGTTCTTCATGATCTGCCCCCTTCCTGCCATTCTAATCCTCTTTAATTCTCCCTTCATCTGCTCTGTCCCTGCTACACATCATTTTTGCTGTTTGTGGAACACAGCCTTTGCCTAGAATGCTCTTCACCTAAATCTTCACATGGTTTGATGATGACCATTCAGGCCTCTACTCATGTGTTACCTCTTTGGAAACATTTTTACTGACCTAGCCCCTCAAGGAAAAAGGACCCCTGTGGTCCCCTATCTTAACCTTGCTTTATTCTTTTATTATCTGAAATCATATTTATTTGTGTTCATTTCTCTGTCCTCCCCCAATAGAAAGTGGGGATCTTGTCTGTTTTATTTATTGCTGGTTCTCTGGCACTTGGTAGTTTCTCAATAATTGTTGAATGAATTGTTGAAACCCAAACTAATAGTGAAGCAGACTATAGTCTGAGTTGTCACAGTGAGATAGATGAATAATCTCAGCATGAGACATGATTAATTAAAGACTCTATTAAAGGTGTTTTAGGAGTGTGTCTGGCTTAGCCTCTGGCCAGGCTGTCCCCACCCCCCAAATTTCCTTTCTTCCTCTACTCACAGTGTCTGAAACTCAGCGATTTAGATTCATTGAATTGGAAGGTTTTCACCTTCTGTAGAATTCTCTACTAAAATTCAAATACCTTCAGCATGTATCTTTGCCTAATAAAAGATTAGGGGGGGAAAGATTATTCTGAGATACCAAACCTAGAGCAGAAGGGACTAAGGACAAAGGGAGGGGCAGATTGTCCTACTAAATTTTCTTCACCATGCCATGTCTTTGACAGAGCCATTTGACGAAATTGGTCCTCTAGAAAGCTGAACGGCTTTAGGCATCAACAAGAAACTTTCTGTGTGAATTCTGTTAGGAATGGCAAACTCCTGATTTCTCTCTCTCCCATGTATTCCAGTTCCATTCCCCAATCCCCAGTGTAACTTCCTAAGTGTGGGGACTTGACAGTTTGGTAGTCTACGTCGAATGTGCTTCTCCCACCTAATTGTTTTTCTATCACAGTAAATCAACTAGCTCGACCTCTATCCACAGGAAAGTAATTCTGTACCAGGGGATTTAAAAAATACCTGAACAAGGTGCCTGGGTGGCTCAGTTGGTTAAGTTCTGACTTCGGCTCAGGTCATGATCTCAGTTCATGAGTTCGAGCCCCACTTTGGGCTCTGTGCTGAGAGTTCAGAACCTGGAGCCTGCTTTGGATCCTATGTCTCCCTCTCTCTCTGCCCCTCCCTTGCTCACACTCTGTCTGTCTCTCTCTCTTTCAAAATGAAATAAACATTAAAAAATAATAAAATAAAAAATAAAAATACCTAAACAATATGTTATTAAATGATGGATAGAAACCTATTTCCTTATTAAAATACTTACATTTTCTTTTTGTGGGTATTTTTTTTTTTATTTTAGAGAGTGAGAGAGAGAGCATAAGTGGGGGAGAGGGGCAGAGGGGGAGAGAGAGAGAGAGAATCTTAAACAGGCTCCACACTCAGAACAAAGCCTGATGTAGGGCTTGATCCCAAGACCCTGTGATCATGACCTGAGCTGACATCAAGAGTTAGATGCTCAACTGACTGAACCACCCAGGTGCCCCTATAATGCTTATGTTTTAATAACATGTTAGAAACAAAGAATTTGATTTCCTTAGTGTTAGAATTTGGCTTCCCTGAGAAGCAAACTCAGAGGCAGTGATGAGCATACAGAGCTTGCATTAGAGAGTAGGGACCCTTAGAATCAACATTTGTGGAAGGCAAGGAGGCAGGACTGGGTAGCAGGAAAAGCTGAACTCAGTGCAGTCTCAACAAAGGTCTCAGCTTGCCCTTTGAGGAGCTCTTCAGAGCAGCTGAAATGGCTCTTTCCAGTCAACTCCCCTTGCAGTAAGGAGGCTAGGCTTTCATATTCTCATATCAACCAGGCATTGGATGCAAGCTGGTCCTGGGTGCGCTGTCGCTAAGGGCAATTTTTGGACTGGGCTATGTGCCAAGAGCTGCCTGCTGACAGCACTACCTGAAGACAGAACTGGGCAGCACAACACAGCATCCATTACATCTCATGTTTTCATGTTAATATCACTTTTTGGTTGCTAGCATTATTCTTAGTATCTGTTGAAAGACAGATAAACTTTGTACTAAGAGTCTCCACTGAATTGGCTTTGCTACTGAGAAATCTTTTCTTGTTAATGCTGTGCTTTTGAAAGACATTAACTTTTCTGTTCCTAACATGTTATAATCCTATGTAGGTAAGAGTGCTATTTGTTGATGTTGTCATTCTTATTTAACATTTTGTGAAGCATTCACTGGATGTACCAGGGTCTTGTGATTCTTTCTTAGTCATCTGCAGTGGCCAGTCTGGCTGATTAGAAAGGTAAAGTTCCACTCTCATTAATCCTGCCTACCCCATTGAATCCGCATCCCAGGAGTTTTCCTTAAAATAAATAAACAAACAAGCAAACAAAATAAATCCCTCAGCCTGGGTGATGTCAAAGGAACTAATTATTCAGGCTTCTCATTACAGTTTTGTCTATGTAAGGACTGCAGATTGGGGTCCTGAGTAAGCATAATTGAGAATTAATGTGTTCTGTGCCTCAGAGGTGGGAAATAAAACTGAAATGGCCCACATGAGGGGGGAAAAAGATTTTTATCGTGTAAGTGAGACAATAGGATCCATGATTGTAGGTTTTATTGCTCAGGCCTGGCCAGTAGATAGAAACAAAAGGATCTTTTTCTCTGGTGGTTTTTCACCCTGGCAAGATTAGTCTCTGAAATAGGACTAACACCTGAAGTTATTCATCTCTCTGGAAAAATGTGGACATGAAAGAGCAAGGAATTTATACTTAGTCTGCATATGTCTGAGCAAGAATTAAGCAAATAATAGATACTTTTCTGGAGTTCCAACACTGTGGTCAGGGTCAGGAGTTGGTACCAGCTGGTTCTGAGGCTCATCTCCCTCTCCCTGCACTTCTTCCAGCACCTGCGGATGATGAGGGAGGTTCACTGTTTCCTTGCAGCTTCAGCTTATTGCTGACAAGGCTGTATTCAGTGTTTCATTTGAAGGGCAATATGGTCCAATGGCTTGGCATGTGACTGTCAAATCCTGACTTCATCATTTAAGTTTTATTATGTTAGGCATCCCAAACTATCTACTCTGGGCCTTAGGTTCTTCCTTTCTAAATTAACAGTGACCCTACTGCCTACTATTAGAGTTGTTAAAAAGCATTACATTAGATACTACATGTGAAGTGTTGATGGTGCACAGTAGAAAACAGTCAATACCAGGTGTTATTATTTGCTAGGAATAAGTTCACAGGTATAAGATGAGATTAAGAATTACTTGAACATTTCTGCAACAAAGAGAGGGACAGCTAGCCCTGGTTGAGCTGATAATTCTTTAAATAGCTACCATTAAGTAAATAGCAATAGAGAAGAATAGTTCCCCTGCAAAGTTGAAACCAATGAGATAGATTCCCTCTTTAAAGTGAGATATAACAGGGAGCTGTATTAGACAACTTAGTGTGACAAAGGTAATAAATGTTAAGTTAGGAGTGGCTGTCATTGCCAGTGAAAGTCCAGAAATCTCTATTTCTGTCAATCACAGAAGATACGCGTCAGTCAAGGAATTGGATTTCCCTATACCAAAAAGCCATTGCTGGCTGAGCAGAACAAGATGTGGACTCACCAAACTCAACAACCTGCTTTTCTCACAAAGTATTAATTGCGTAAGTAATAATTTCCTTATTTGTCAAAAAACCTCAACAGAATTTCAAATTTTGATCTAGTTGCCAACTTAGACTCTGCTCCACTAAAGTATAAATAATTGCTCAGAAGGAATGTGTCTCTGGACTATTTCTAGCACTCCTCTTTCATACTGTAGGTATTAAATTTGGAAATCTTACACTTCTATGTTAGAATATCTGTTGATTTTTATGTACTAGAGAAGAGTTTCTTCTATATCCTATTGCTTTTCCTAGTTGACTATGCTCCATATTTACTCATCCAACAAATATTTATTGAATGCTCACTATGAACCAGCTATATAGTAGGTATATATTCCGAGTGGAAGTAAAAGGAAGGTGACTATTTTCAAAAGGTTTATAGGCAAATAACTAAAAATCTATCGAATATATGTATTTTTTTTTACTTTACATTCATGAGTCCAAATGATCTCAACTCTCTTTCCTTAGAGTTGAGACCACATATCTAGAATGTGTTGGTAAAATTTCCACTATCTCTCACATGATATCATGTATCTACTTGACAAATTTGTCAACTGATGCTAAAAGACTGTTATAGTCAGTAGTGGAGACTATGACTTCAAGGGCAATGTGATTACCAGTAATGTAGCTTCTCTTATTTGAAGAAAGTTACAGGTATAAACTCAGCCTGAATAAATGATACCATTTGTGGAATTTTTTTCCCCAGCTATCAAGCTTTAAGAAAGTTTGAGGAGTTAAATTTTTTTTTCTTTAAAATGAAATGCAAGAAAGTCAAGATGAAAGAGAAAAACGAAAGACGGAGTAGTCAGAAAAGAGAAGTTAAAATGAAAATTGCCTCTCTCTGGAATTATAACTATGTTGGTAAAAGCTTTTACCTTGTCTGCTACAAGTGAGAATAGTTTCTAAAATATAAAAGTTTTACTTACCAGAAAGACTAGCATCCAACCAAAATTGAAAACGATCAAGGTTTAGTTAGGTATTGTATCATTAACATGTCATTCCTCTATTGCTTCTTCCAGGCTACTTCCTTTTACTTAATGAATCTCAAAATTTTATTTTGGCTTTGACTGTGAAGGCGAGAAAGAAATGCCAGGGTTCCACCCCTGCCTTCCTGAATCAGACCATCTGGCGAACAGAGCTCATTTATCTACACGTTTTTTTTTTTTTTTAATGTATAAAATAAACATAACAAAATTGACCATCTTAACCATTTTAAAAAAAAAATTTTTTTTTCAACGTTTATTTATTTTTGGGACAGAGAGAGACAGGGCATGAAGGGGGGAGGGGCAGAGAGAGAGGGAGACACAGAATCGGAAACAGGCTCCAGGCTCCGAGCCATCAGCCCAGAGCCTGACGCGGGGCTCGAACTCACGGACCGCGAGATCGTGACCTGGCTGAAGTCGGACGCTTAACCGACTGCGCCACCCAGGCGCCCCTCTTAATCATTTTTAAGTGTACAGTTCAGTGACGTTAACTATATTCACATTGTTATGCAACTATCACCACCATCCTTCTTCAGAACTCTTTTCATCTACAAAACTGAAAGTCTGTGCCTATTAAACAGCTATCCATTCCTCCCACCTCCCCACCCCAGCCCCTGGCAATCACCATTCTACTTTGTCTTTATGATTTTGGTTACTCTAGGTACCTCCGTAAGTGGAATAATACAACGTTTGTCCTTTCGTGACTGGTTTCTTTCACTTAGCATAATGTCCTCCAGGTTCATCCAAGTTGTGGCATTTCTCACTTTGATTCCTTTTTTTGAGACTGAAAAATACCCATTGTGTGAATATACCACATTTTGTTTATCCATTCATCCATCAGTGGACACTTCTTCCACCCTTTGGTTATTGTGAATAATGCTGCTATAAACTTGAGTGTACAGGTCTCTCTTCAAGACTTTTCTTTCAATTATTTGGGGTATATACTTAGAAGTGGAAATGGTCGGTCATATGATAATTCTGTTTTTAATTTTTAAGGAAGCACCAAATTCTTCCACAGTAGCTGTGCCATTTTACTTTCCCACTGAAAGTGCACAAAGGTTGTGATTTCTATGTATCTTTGCCAACACTTGTTTTCTGGTTTGAATTTTTGTGGGTTGTTTTTTTTTTTAACAGTAGATATTACAAAGAATGTGAGGTGGTATCTCATTGTGGTTTTTGATTTGCATTTCTATAATAATTAGAGATGTTGGACATTTTTTCATGCTTCTTGGCCTTTTGCATTTCTTCTTTGGAGAAATGTCTATTCAAATACTTTGCCATTTTTAAAATTGGATGTTTGGCTTTTGTTGAATTGTATGAGTTCTTTATACATTCTAGATATTAACTCCTTATCAGATATATGATCTGCAAATATTTTCTCACATTCTGTAAGTTGCCTTTTCATTCTGTTGACTTTGTGCTTTGTACAGAACATTTTTATTTTGATGTAGTACAGTTTATATCTTTTTTTCTTTTGTTACCTGGGCTTTTGGTGTCCTTTCCAAGACATCATTGTCAAATCTTGAACTTTTCTCCCCTATGTTTTCTTCTAAGAATTTTATAGTTTAGCTCTTAGGTTTAGGTCTTTGATTCATCTTGGATTAACTTTTTATATGGTATATATGATGCAAGGTAAGTGTATAACTTCAATCTTTGGCATGTAGCAGCTGTACTTAAAGTTCCACAGATGTTTCTGGTGTTTGTGAACCACTGTTAGGCTAGTAATATCCAGCTAGTTCACCCCTTCTCCAAATATCATTATCATTTGTGGCAAAACAACAGCAACAACAATAACAACAACCCTAAAAGGGCCAAGCACAGAGATAAATACTCATTAAAAATTCACATATGCTAACTAGATTATGTTTACTATTTGGGGGTAATTTAAAACGTGAAATGACTGCTACCCACAATGATGATATTTCCATATTTTTTCTTCTTTTTTCACATCTATTGTTCCTGATATTTCAACTGTCCTCCCCAAATAAAGCCTAGAAATAAGCATTTAAAAGTGGTTCTCAGTTAGTTACATAGCTTCATCTCTGGAACAAAAATTAATCCTCCTTTTGGGAGACATATCTGCAGCCTAGGCCTCACAGTTTTCCCACAAATGAAGCATGGTGAAGCATGAAGAATGATGAATACTCATCAACCATGAGAGTTGGCAGCTATATATTAGCTTTATATAATAAAATTATCAAATACATTTTGTTTAAACTTATGATTTTAATTCCATCTTTGTTTAATAAGAGAAATAAGATGAAAGTATTTTCTACTTTAACACAGTATGTTTTAAATCAGTGTATTCAAGTTAATTGAGCCAGAAAGTTTTCTGTCCAGGTTATAAGCCCACTCACACCCACTTTCACAAAACAACCAAATAAGAATATAAGAACCATTGTGGGGTCCCTGGGTGGTTCAGTTGGTTAAGCAGCCAACTCTGGATTTCAGCTCAGGCCATGATCTCACGGTTTATGGATTTGAGCCCCACATTGGGCTCTGTGCTCACAGGACTTGGCCTGCTTCAGATCCTATGTCTCCCTCTCTCTGCCCCTCCCCCACTTGTGTGTGTGCACAGACTCTCCCTCTCTCTCTCTTTCTCTCTCTCAAAAAAAAAATTAAAAAAAATAGAATAAAAGAACTATTGTAGAAATTAACTGACTGATAAGAACAAAAAAACTTTTTTTCTGAATGTAGAAATAAATTGATAAAATTTAAATTTCCATCCAGGCTGAAAATTCACAAACAAGGGAATAAAACACCTATAGTATGAAATGCCCTTCATAGTGTGTAACCTTTTATAATATGCATAATCAGTATAATCTCATTCAGTTAAAAATCTGCCCATGTATATTCTTGTAGTTCACTAAGGTGTTAATAGTCATAAACTCTGCTAATAGAAATATAGTGTTATCTATATATTCTCACTTTATATTGTTATCTATATATCTATATATCTATATCTATATATATCTCACTATATTGTTATCTATATATTCTCACTTTCTACAATGTACATATACTGATTTTGCAATAATAAAAGTAAAAACAAGAAAAAAATTTACTGCAAACATCTTACTTAGAGGTCAGATGTCAACATATAAGGCAAGGATAAAAAAAAATTTTTTTTAAATTTTTTTAACGTTTATTTATTTTTGAAAGAGAGAGACAGAGTGCAACCTGGAAGGGGCAGAGAGAGAGGGAGTCACAGAATCTGAAGCAGCTTCCAGGCTCTGAGCTGCCAGCATAGAGCCCGATGTGGGGCTCCAACTCAAACTGTGAGATCATGACCTGAGCCGAAGTTGAACGCTCAACCGACTGAGCCACCCAGGAGCCCCATCGATACCCCGATTAATTAGTTCTTCTATTTATTAGAAGTTATGGTTAGTTCTGGGGCGCCTGGGTGGCGCAGTCGGTTAAGCGTCCGACCTCAGCCAGGTCACGATCTCGTGGTCCGTGAGTTCGAGCCCCGCGTCGGGCTCTGGGCTGATGGCTCAGAGCCTGGAGCCTGTTTCCGATTCTGTGTCTCCCTCTCTCTCTGCCCCTCCCCCATTCATGCTCTGTCTCTCTCTGTCCCAAAAAATAAATAAACGTTGAAAAAAAAATTAAAAAAAAAAAAGAAGTTATGGTTAGTTCAATAAAGGAAGAAAATCTTTTATATGGTGTAAGGAGAGGAAAGCAAAAGATGTTTATGAACATAGAAGACTCAAGAAAATCTACAGATACGTGATCAAATTTTAAAATGGAATTTAGCAAGACTAGTGGATATAAAATCAATATAGAGAAATAATTTGTTGAATATCAATTTGCCCCTCCAGATTCACTCTTCACCTTCCTCCACAGTGGTAGTGCCTTGGGATACCGACCTACAGTAACAAGTTCCCTTATTCTCTGGCTTCTCATTAGGTTCAGTAAGTAGTAGCAGCAGCAGCAGCAGCAGCAGGAGATCCAAGGGAGGAGGAAAAGAGCATGAGGGTTATATAACCTCATCTCTCTCCCTGTGGGGCTGCTCTTGGCTGGTTGTATCACCCATCAAAAGTCATAGCTCCCATCAGAGGGCTCTCTCTGCATAGCTGTTTCTGTCTTTGCGTTCTGGAAAATTTCTTCTTTCCTTCCCTTTAAGTTTAGGAGTAGTAATGGTCCCCCAACATTACTGCACCTTAGGTACTGTATAATCCCTGGTAGTTTGCTTAAACCCTGCCTACGTATGTGTAAATGACCTAATATGAGGGTGCTGTTTCCTACTTGGGCCTTCAAGGATATAGATAGTATTTATGACAGCAACAAAGAATTTAACTAGAAATAAACAAAGAGGCAAAAGACCTTTATAGAAAAATTCTAAAGCTTAATTAAAGGACATTTTATTTTATTTTTTTTTAATTTTTTTTCAACGTTTTTATTTATTTTTGGGACAGAGAGAGACAGAGCATGAACGGGGGAGGGGCAGAGAGAGAGGGAGACACAGAATCGGAAACAGGCTCCAGGCTCCGAGCCACCAGCCCAGAGCCGACGCGGGGCTCGAACTCACGGACCGCGAGATCGTGACCTGGCTGAAGTCGGACGCTTAACCGACTGCGCCACCCAGGCGCCCCTAAAGGACATTTTAAAACAGCTATTGAGCTATACCATGTACATGGCTAGCAGGACATAATATGCAGACATTGTTTTTTTCTCCAAATTGATCTGTAGATTCAAATAAATTCCATTGCAATTTCCAACCTTATTTTCATGGGACTTGGCAAGGGAAATCTAAATTTATATAGAACAACAGAGGGCAAATAATAGCCCTCTATTGAAGAACAATAAATCAGGCAAAGCCTTGCTCTACAAGGTAGTGTTACTATACACATGGAGTAATTAAAACTGAAATTGGTGCATTGCAGATCAATAAGGAAAGATAATGGTACTGGAACAATGGTATTCATATGGACAAAAGAATAATAAAATTATACACCTATCTCATTATACAGAATATATAAATCCCAGGTGAATTATAGTTGGATCATAAAAAGCTTTATGATCTCACATTACTAAAAGAGTATTTAAATATGGTCAAAAAACCCACATTAGACCTAAAGGAAATAATTGATGAATTTGACAATTCTGGATTTTAAATTTCTGTGCATTAAAAGCCATTTTAGACAAAGTAAAATATATATGCCACAGCTTAGAGAAAACAAAGTAGATGTACCCGCAATAGGATGTAGTAATCTCACACACGTGG